TGGCTTTGTCCCATCCTGTGACTAGGACATGCCAGCCATTGGACGAGAACATTCTTCCTTGCTCACATACCCACGCCTGCATAGTCCGCTCTACCCCATCGCAACAAAGGTAAACTCAGGTTTGCTGCGAGGGGAGAGAGCACACTGCCAATGTAAAATCATAACACTAGGCATTTAACCACTTGTTGGCAATAATAGCAGCACACTGACTAAAACAACTGCCAGTATGTTCTACCCCATCCAGTGACTGGATAGTGAATGAGCATCCGCTAAATGTGATTTCTTAGCAAACTCTGTATGAAGTAGTAGAGCCCGATTGCCTTACATAGCTGTCCTTCCCTATCCTAGTCTTGCTGCACAGGGGATTACAAGAGGCTAATATAAAGATGGAATAATGTAGAATCTAAAAAAGATCTTGATTAAAAAAAAGAAAATACCCCTTCTTAATCCAGTTATCTTCCTATAGTTCTGCTATATGTTAATTGTGTAAATTAACATTAAAAATAAAAAATATTATACCCTGAGTTTTCTGGGTCCATCTCTTGTACATCCTTTTCGCTTGCTTGGCGTCAGCATTGTAATGACTTTATCTAGTCCTCTTTCCAGACTGCCGAATACCTTTCCTCCTTTTTTCTTCTGAGCACTGTCAAGATGTGCTTGATTTAAATCCAAATCCACAGAACGACAACTATCAAAGTACAAACAATGAAAAAGATAAAAAGGTATTCAAGTCAGATTGTGTTGACCTACAGCACCACCTAGTGGATAAATTATGTAAAGCACCTATATAGGATAACCTTACCATACAGCCTTCTTTATCATTGTGTGCTAAAAAGGAATGGTTTGTACTTCCACAGCTCCCAACACATTACACTTTAGCAAATTTAATTTAACAACATGTCAAACTCATTGCAGGACATAAAAAAGGCACAAAAATGGCTGAGGAGTGTCTAGCCCTGCCCTTAAAATGTGCTTCATATGTCAGTCATGTGTGACGCGATCGTATTGTTGGAGTTTAAGGCTACCATGCAGCTACAAAACCCCTTGCTTTCAGGAGTTAATGGGATGCACAGGACAACCCACTAGAAAAGAAAAGGGGTTATGTGCAGACACCTACCTACATGAGTTATGCTGGCTTGACAGGTTCCTTAAAGTAAACCTGTGACCAAATTATGGACAATTAAGTATTTATCTATTTTTAACAAGCAGTAAGAGAATTTTAAAACAAGCCACCCATGACCTCTCTATCTGCTGGCACTGTGAAGTAATTCATCCTGAAGTAGCACAACAGAGACTCTGAAGTCCGGTTTTCAGTTTCTAGCAAAATACAAGAACTTGCTCTTTGCTTACATGAGAAGGCTGCCAAGTTTCTGCAGTCATAGAAAATAAGGCAGAAGAAGCTGTGATTTCAGTGCTTCTGTTGTGACCGTTGGAAGATTCATTTATTTATAATGCTTGCAGCTACAGAGATCAGTGATGGCTTGCTCTTAAAAGGAGAACTATGAGATGAGTGATTTCCACTCACCTCATAGTTCTAGCCGACCTGTGACAATGAGACCGTCACAGGTCGGCTCAGTAGATCGGGAGGTGAGCGAACACATACCAGGTTCGCTCACCTCTCGATCCTGTGACGGCTCTCTGCAGGGGGAGGGGCCTGCCAGGAAGGGGGTCTAAACACCTGGTCTTGAAGTGGTTAAAAGAGTAAGTTCAACTTTTCACAAAATGTAAAAAAACAAAACGCATGACAAACTAGACAGAGCCTACATTGGAAACCAAGGAACAGCTGTGTAGACTATTAGATGTGAGCATAGTCAAAAATGTAGGAATGTTTGTTGTACTACCAATTTCGAATATGAACATGAAAAATGAGAACGAAAAACTTGTGATCACTTACCGCCTTTCAGGACTTATAACAGATGATGTAATTTCGTTACTCAGCAGAAATGGTTTCTTTGTGGGAGTTTCTTTAATTGAGCAGCTTTTGTCTGTACGGGGAATATAAAAACCAATAAAGAGATGAGAAACAACTGACATCAGGATCAACAGCAGACCAGACAAATGCTTTCATGTATGAAGCTGTGGTACCATGATGGCTGCATGGGGGACATGTCTCTGTGCTATGGTGTGTGACAGTGCCACAGAACCCTTCCCATGCAGCAACTATAATAGCGAGCCCCTGCACCGAGCCTTGGTGCATGAAGAACAGGCAACTCTAGCAGCCCTGCTAGGGGGCCTGGCTAAGTAGGTTCTCCACCTTGAAGACAGTGGAACAGGGTTGTACATGTGCAATAGGCATACAAGTTGGGAAGTGGGAATTTTACTCTTCCTGTATTTATTATTTTTATGGGGTTTTTTCCTCTGTCTATTCATGTACACACACACACACACCAAAATCAGCCCTAACATTATGACCATCTGCCTAAAATTGAGTAGGTCTCCTTTTTGCTGACCCATTGAGGTAAGGACTCTACTAGACCTCTAAAAGTATGCTGTGATATCTGGCACCAAGCTGTCAGTAGCAGATCCTCTAAGTTGCAAGGTGGGGCCTCCATGGACTGGACTTGTTTTTCCAGCAAATCCCACAGATGCTCAATTGGCTTAAGATCTGGAGAATTAAGGAGGCCAAGTCAACACCTGACTTGTGTTCCTCAAACCATTCTTGCAGTGTGGCAGGACGGATTATGCTGCTGAAAGAGGCAGTTGCGATCAGGAATACTGTTTCCATGAAGTGGTGTCCTCTGTCAGCAACAATGTTTAGGTAGGTGGTACTTGTCAAAGTAACATTGCCCAAAGCATCACGCTGCCTCCGCCAGCTTGCCCTGATTAAAAGAAAAATTGATTCTTGAGACAAGGCCACCTTCTTCCATTGCTTTGTTGTCCAGTGCTGATGTTCAGGTGCCCATTGTAGGCACATTTGGCAGTGGAAATGGGTCAGCATGGGCACCCTGACCAGTCTGTGGCTATGCACACTACAAAACTGTGATGCAGTGTGTTCAGACACCTTTCTATCAGAACCAGCATTAACCTTTTCAGCAATTTGAGCTACAGTAGCTCTTCTATTGGATTTGACTACGGGGGCCAGCCTTCCCTCCCCACATGCATCAATGAACCTTGGCCCCCGGTGACCCTGTCACTGTTTTCCCTACTTTGGACCACTTTTAGTAGGCCCTGACCACTGCAGACCTGGAACATCCCACAAGAGCTGCAGTTTGGGAGTTTCACTGACCCAGTCTGGCCATCACAATTTGGCCCTTGTCAAAGTTGCTCAAATCCCTACACTTACACCATTTTTTTTCTGCTTCCAACACATCAGTGACAACATTTTCACTTGCTGCCCAATATACCCCAGCCACGTTCAGGTGTCCTATTGTAACAAGAATGTTATTCACGTCATCTCCTCGGTGGTCATAATTATTTGGGATGCACCGATACCAGTATCAATGCTAAAACTGGGCATTTTCACGAGTACTTGAACTCCTAAAAAAGCCCCCATAGCAAGGTGTCACTACCGCCGCTTTTCATTTTTAAAAAGGAGCGGCTGCCGCACAACGGCTGTTTACAGTGCCAGTCCAGTCCCACATCTCCCCACCACCAGGCACAGCACTAGGGAGACCTACACAACCCTGGCGAGGCAGCAGCATCCACAGTGTTGTACAAAAAGCCTAATCTACTGATTATATATGCACACTCTACCTTTTGCAGGAGCCAAAATATTGTTGTTGGGGGTAGTCAATACTCCTTTCTTCTTGGAGGCTGGTGTCCAAGGAGCTGGCTGCAAAAAGGGGCCTTCATTTTTGGGCAATTTTGAGTCAGAGTTTTCCTTATTTTCACTTTTCTTTGTTGGCATCATAGACTTTATTGGCGTTGCAGGGGAAGAGTCCACACTGTGAAGCTCAGAACGATATCCAGAAAACTTCTATGATGCAAATGGATAAGAAAATAATATATCTATATCTATATATAAATAACACACACTCGTATGTGCACACAAACTTACCTCCTTTGAACTGATTTTTTCAGTAGTGCTGCATGTGTGCTCCTCATAAAATAGATCATCATCAGAAAATTCCATGGATCCAAACACATATGGAAATTCCCCTTGATTGAAATCATCAAAATTCAGCTTATGCCTTAACTGCCAAACAAGTTTTATAAATAGATAGATTTTTAGGAATTAGTCCATGTTTATAATGAGGAACACAGCAAGGTTAGCATTTTGTAAACAGTTTGGTTACATTGCTGCCTATGGGAAGTTGGGACACCGGCAAACAAAAGACATTAAAGGCAACCCCAAAGAACCCCACCTTCAAATGCCATGCTTCAGTTTTGTGAGTTAGCAGTATAAGAGCCAACACCACAAAGGACTCAATGGACTGCAAGATAAAGATTTTATGGTCAGTTGCAAGAATGTTTTTTTTTTTTCGTTGGCAGATCTCGTGTAGCTCGTCATTTGAAAAGTAGATCTTAACACAAATTGTGGGCACTCCTGATCTACAAGATGCTAAGAGTGGGATGAGCTTCCTCTAGGCTGAATAGAGGGACAAAGTGGAGAGCATACAAGTTGCTAGTACAGCCTCCAAAGCTGTAGCTGAGAATATGTCGGTCCACATAGCTGCTGTATCGAGACTAGCTAAAGCAGCGCTTTTGAAGTATTGATTGAAGTCACTATAGAAGAAAATATCTACAGTGTACCAAGCATCTTAACTGAAGAAAAAAATAAATTAAAATATAAAAAAAGTTTAGTAAAAATATAGGCCGTCTCAGCAGAACTAAGGAAAAAGGTGTCCAACCTCTTAGGACACTGATGAAAAACTGAAGCATGACAGTTGGAGACTCTTAACATTTGTTTGCTGTAGTCAGTAGTATAAACCAACTGTATGAGAATTCCACACACTTCTGTGTCCCTCAATGGACTGTAAAGAAACAACAACAAAAAGGAATCAGTTAGAAATATTCACATATCTATTATACTAAACAAAACTAGAATCTGCTTAGCTGGTGCTTGCCTAAGGCATAATGAAACTTTAGTTATGAAGTATCAGATAATTGCCAAGATAATTTTAGAAAGTAAATGTTCCGGCACAAGGGGAAAAAAAAAAAAAAAAGTTCTAGCATATAATGCCATTAGTAGTTATAGAGAGACAGTTTTTAAATAAAATTTAAATGGTTTAATAAATGAACGTGAATGCTAAAGATCAACCCTTAAAAGAAAACAGTGCGTTCTCAGTGAGCGCACATTTCAAGTTTCAACTTTACTGCATACCTTCCTGGAAACTCCCTTGGTTAGTGTCTTTTGTGCATACACAGATGTATCTATTTTTATCCCCACAAAGAAATGGTCTATCGTTTGGTCACAAATGACCGAAGCATCCACCTCAAGGGCCTGAGGATCTCTGGGCCTGGCAACAAACCGGTCCAGCGCGTTATTGATCATGGATGCCAGAAGGCCCATGTCTAGAGTCCCCCACCTGAGACCAAGATCTTGGACCACCTATGAGGAGAGACCATTTCTCTGGATCAAGATATTTTTTCCAATGCTTGGGATGTGGACAGCGCTCAGGGACAGAATCTTGTGAAAGCCACTGTTCCATTGTCCAACTGGATTCTGTTCAGGTGATTTAGAAAAACATCCAGCATTGAAGGGACAACCGAATGTTCCCAGTTCTAGGATGCTGATGGGGAGCAGAGTTTCATCTGACAATGTCCCTTGAAGTAAAAGGGTCTCCAGTATGGCTGCAACTAACGATTTTCATAATCTATTAGTTGGCCAATATTTTTTTCTGATTAAAATCGGATAAAAAATAAAACCATCTTTTATTAAAAATAACATACACAAATGGAGTTACAAAGTTTACTTCAGAATAAAACTGCATGCACATTTTTTGCAATAGCACCACACTGGAATGCATGGCATTGCAGTACTGTGTGCCTTCCAGTGCAGGCGATCACACTGAAGGTTAGAGGCGCGTTTGGGGTGCCACTAGAACTTACATCCTGTAGCAGAATTTGTCAGGCCGAAACAAGAAATTACTTTTTTTCACTTTATTTTAAATAATTGTATGTATAATAGACATTTTAATTAGTTCAATGGATTTAAAATAATCTGAATTCAAAAACTCCAAACCAATATAATAAAATACCCAAAACTTATTTAAAATAACACCAAAAATTTGACAAGAAAAAACAAAATTTCATTTGTAAAAAGATAAAAGCCCATCAGTTTAGAGTTACCCATGAATATTGGCCGGAGAATTATTGCTCTAACTCAAGCACATACCCAAGTGCTCTCACTTAAACGTTTCCCGACGTGTGTAGCACAATCGTCATTTTTGTACGTAGGTGCACCCGACTTGTTTCCCATTAGTAAGCGCACGTTCACGGGGTCAGGGGACTTTACATTTTTTTTTGTGGTATTTCTCATTTTATTTAACTTCTTTTTTTACTTCAGTGCTATCACATCAGGAGCTCACAAAACCCCTATGTGATTGGACATTGGAGATGACAGGTTTTCTTTAAAAGGTGACATTAGGGGTCTATTAGACCCCTAGTGTCACCTTTCCACTTCAATAATTCTAGCTGGGGAATGACCGCTGCCTGCTGAGGCAGCTGAATGTAAAACATAGCAGGCATTCGCTTGAGGCAACAGCCAGCCTGCTATTGGCCATTTCAAATTGCAATAGCCGGCTGGCTATTGCACCTGCCCACTGCCTACTGTCAATCAGCAACGGAGGGAATTGAGGGAGAAAGTTCTCCTTCAGGTCCGCCTCTGCTGAATGAAAGCAGGCAGTGGGCGGGTGCAATATAAAGCCTGCTATTGGCTACTGCAATTTAAAATAGCCAATAGCAGGCTGGCACTTTCTCCTAGCCGCTGGATGGGAGCAAGCTGTAAGATGGGGCATGGAGGAGCGGTGGGGACACAGGGAGGAGCAGCAGGGACATGGAGGAGCACCTGAGGCAGCGGGGCAGAAACTGAGGCAGCGGGGCAGAAACTGAGGCAGCGGGGCAGAAACTGAGGCAGCGGGGGCGCAACAGGGGAATGCAGGCACAGTGGTCTCTCCTCCCAACTGGGCATCAGCTGCAGACACAGACCGCAACACACAGGGGCTCCCAGTGGAGAGGAGAACTGGGAGGGAGAGCAGCGGCAGGAGAGTGAGTTTTGGAGCTCTCCTCTAGGCTGAGGACCGGCTACAGGGGTTTGTGCCCCCTCCCATCTCGCTGAGAGCAGCGAAGATCAGATGGGGCACAGAAACAACTAATCGATAGAGAATAGTTAACAATTCTAAAATCGATTAGTTGTGTCAGCCCTAGGCTCCAGGATTCCTCCCTCTGCCTGATAGGCTGGCATCGCCACATAGGGAGAAAGGATTTGCCTAAATCCAGCGCCAGACTGGAATTCCACCACATTAGTGAGTCTCGCCAAGCTAGTCAGGGTGCATGGTGATCCAGAGCGTTTATCCCATGCAGCCAGAATGTTGACTGCCTGGAATAAAACTGGCCTTATGGTCCCCTACTTCAAAAAAGGAGGCTACCATCAGACTCAAGAACCCTCATGCAAAAGCAAACAGCCCCAGCTAGGAGCCCCGGAAATCGAAACACAGCTGCTGAGTCATTCCCCATGGGCCCCACCAGCCCCTGGGGTGGTGGTTAGTCATTTAAAGAAAAATTGTATGAATCAAATCTTTAAAAGAAAGTTGTTTTTGTTGTTCGAGTAAAAAAA